GTCGACTCAAAATACACCTAAGAAGTCAGAATTCTACATCCCCTAGGAACCTACAAGAACCTTGCAGCTGCCGCGGCACGGAGGCACCACCACCACCACCTCCACAACCCCCCCATCCGTCACCAGGCACAGCCACACTCGGGTCCAACAGAGAGAGGAGAAGGTGTGTATGTGTATACACGCGCGTGTGCGCGCGCGCCTGTGTGTGTGTGTGGATGCGCATGCGCGCGCATGTGTGTGTGCGTGGATGCGCGGATGCGCATGCGCGCGCATGTGTGCGTGTGTGGATGCGCATGCGTGCACATGTGTGTGTGTGTGGATGCGCATGCGCGCGCGTGTGTGTGTATGTTTTTGCTATGCAAATCCGTACCGTGCGGCTGCAGGATAGCAACGCCATTCTCTACTGCCTTCACCTCCAGATCGCCCCCATCCTACACCGGAAAAGGCTTCACTCCGTCCGACATTGGCCGTGCGTGTGTGTGCATGCAATTTGCGTGCGGGCGTGTGTTCTTAGTTTGTGAAGTCTCACCGTGCAGCTCCAGGATCACAACGCCATTCTCCACCGCCTTCACCTCCACATTGCCCCGCCACCAGGTTCGGTCGCACTCGGTCCAACAGTGTAAGTGGGTGCATGCGTGTGTCCATATGCATACGCATGTGCATGTGCATGAGCATTCGTTCTGTGAGGTCTCACCTTGCAGCTGCAGGATAACGACGCCATTCTCCACCGCCTTCACCTCCACATTGCCCCCATCCGCCACGAGGTACGGTCGCACTCGCTCCAGCACCCGGTCCGCCGTCTCAACCGTCAGCTCCATCTCACCCTCCTCCTGCTCCGCCTCTCCGCCCCCCCTGTTGCCGGCAGTGCCTGGGCATGCGAAGGGGCTAACTATGGGTGCAGCGGAAGGGGGAGCTGAGGGAGCTGAGATTACTGCTGCAACAGCTGCTGCTTTTTCCGCTGCTGTTGGTACTGTTGCTTCTTTTGCTGCAAAAGTGTTCGCAGTGGAGCAATCTCTGGCTGAAAGCGTTTCTTGCGTCTGCCCGTGAATCACAGAGCTCCAATCATCGCCCTCCGTGGCCTGCCGTGAAGCCAATCGAACAATGTGCGGGCAGATAATGGGGTTTTTGTGACATCTCCTACAATGCAATGCCTTGTCATGTCATGCCATGTCTTGTCGTGCCATGCCCCAGCCATCTCCCCTCCCCATATCCCGCCAAATCCCACCATCCCACAAGCCTGCAGCAGCTGCAGTCTCAGCCTCTCACTCTCCCCATTGCCCAGCACCACCGCACCCCACCCAGCACAACCCCAGTCCAGTGATTCACAAAACACTCCACTGTCCCACTATTTCCCACCACCCCATAACTCCGTCTCACCTGCAGCAGCTGCAGTCTGCGCCTCTCACTCTCCCCGTCCGCGCCCTCCCCCTCCACCTTCCGCCTGTACTCCTCGTCGTCCATCAGGTTCTCCCCCATCGCCTTGCGCATCCGCAGCCGCCGCTCCTCCTGCTCCGCCCTCTCCCCCTCGCTCAGCTCCCCCCCCTCCGCCGCCGCTGCTGCTGCCGCGCCGACCTGCGCGCCCTGAGCTTCCATCGTGCGAAACTGAGGGGGAAGGGGAAGGGGGAGGGAGGGGAGGAGGGAGAAAGGGGGGAAAGACAGCTGGCGGTTTAGTTGAAAGGGAGGTGACGGATGGGATGGGATGTGATTGGATGAATGAGATGGGGTGGGATGGGATGTGATTGGATGAATGAGATGGGGTGGGATGGGATGTGATTGGATGAATGAGATGGGGTGGGATGGGATGTGATTGGATGAATGAGATGGGGTGGGATGGGATGTGATTGGATGAATGAGATGGGGTGGGATGGGATGTGATTGGATGAATGAGATGGGGTGGGATGGGATGTGATTGGATGAATGAGATGGGGTGGGATGGGATGTGATTGGATGAATGAGATGGGGTGGGATGGGATGTGATTGGATGAATGAGATGGGGTGGGATGGGATGTGATTGGATGAATGAGATGGGGTGGGATGGGATGGGTGGAACAGGATGGGATGGGATGCAAAGGATTCAGAGGGTGGCGATAAGAGAAGGGTGACGATAAGAGAAGGGTGGCGATAAGAGAAGGGTGACGATAAGAGAAGGGTGACGATAAGAGAAGGGCACTGGGAAGAGGGGAGAGCAGGAAGTAGACGGAGAGACGCGATGGGAAGGAGAAAGGAGGGAAGGGGAGACACGATGCGGAGGAGAATGCGGAGAAGGGGACTTGGACTGGGAGCTGGTAGGAGCGTTACGGAGAAAACCTACCAGAACAAGAAACACCGAGCACCGTGCTTACCTGCTAGTCTGCATAAAACTTTCGTCCTGCCCGAGCTCCTTCAACCACCGCCTCCTTTCTCCTTCCAGCACTGCCCGGGAGAGCATTGAATCTGCCCGATACACCTGCACTCTCACCGATCTGCACAGCCCGTCGCCCAGAGCTGCTCTGTGGCCCTGCGGAGGGGAAGGAGAAGAGTCGGAAGAGAGGGGAAGGGTCAGCGGAGGGGAGACGAGTCAGCGGAGAGGGGACGAGTCAGCGGGGAGGGGAAGGGTCAGCGGGGAGGGGAAGGGTCAGCGGAGAGGGGAAGGGTCAGCGGAGAGGGGAAGGGTCAGCGGAGAGGGGAAGGGTCAGCGGAGAGGGGAAGGGTCAGCGGAGAGGGGAAGGGTCAGCGGAGAGGGGAAGGGTCAGCGAAGAGGGGAAGGGTCAGCGGAGAGGGGAAGGGTCAGCGGAGAGGGGATGGGTCAGCGGAGAGGGGATGGGTCAGCGGAGAGGGGAAGGGTCAGCGGAGAGGGGAAGGGTCAGCGGAGAGGGGATGTGGGAAATGGAGTATTGAAATGCGCTCGATAACCCCGACTCGAGACGCATATGTGCCCCAGAGCTTCGCCCCCTACACCACCGCGACCGCTGAATTTGGAGGCTAACTCACCTTGAGCTCAGCGCGCTTCAGCTCACCTTGAGCGACACCACAATGTTGCGCGAGTAACCCACGTACTGGAGCGCGCCCGCCCCGTCATACACGGCGTAGATCCCTGCCAGCTTCTGCAGCTCGCGCGCCGCCACGTAGTCCTGCACCGGGGTCACCAGCGTGCCGTCGTCCTCGCCGGGGCGAACAGTGTAGGCGGATGAGGCTGCCTCGTGGACGTCTGATGGGATGCCCGGTGGTTAGGGGAAGGGGAAGGAGAGTAGAGACGAGCGGGCATCAGCTCCATCAGCTCCTGCAGCTCGCGACGCCACGTGGCACTGCATGGGTCACAGCAGCGAGCTGTCGCTCCTCGCCGGGGGAAACGGCGTGGATGGATGAGACTGCCTCGTGAACGTCTGATGAGGGGGAACGATGGGGATAGGCGGAAGGAGGGAGATGACAAGAGGTATACGGGCAACCAGGCATCAGCTTCTGCACCTCGCGCGCTGCCACGTAGCCCTGCGTGGATGACAGCAGCGAGCCGTCGCTCCTCGCCTGGCGAACGGTGCTGGCGGTCAGATAAGGCACCGTTAACCAACCCGAGGTTCACGCACCCTCCGAGCCTTCGCCGTAGAGGAAGTCATGCAGCTCTCTGTGTCATTTGGGTCGAGTCCGAGTCCGTCATTACCGCAACGGGGCTACTAGCCCCCGACGCTGCCTCTGGCGACGGAAATGCCTCACGTGTCAATCTGACCTACCTATGGCATAACCTACCTTCGGAGCCTTCGCCGTAGAGGAAATCATGCAGCCCTCTATGTCCCTCGGGGACCGTCGCGTCCGTCATTACCGCCACGTTGCCGATTCCTGACACGCTACTAGCTACGCTACTAGCCACGATATTAGAAACGCTAGTCCGTGCCGATGTAGTCGGCGACGACGACGATTCATTGGTTGCCTCGCGAGGTGCTGACGAATCCGCTCGGACGACTACAAGCCGTGTTTGGTTCGGAGAGATCGCTGCAGTCTTCCGATGTCCAAGGAATTTCAGCGGGGACACAGTAGAAAGTGGCTGAGCCGCGATGGTACGATGAGATTGGATGGGTTGTACTCTGGGCGTCGTGGTAGCTGTGGACATTGCGCGAAGGTGTGACATGGCGGAAATGCAGCTCTCGCTTATAACCACCATGGTCGACGAAGAAAAAGGTCAGCCCGACAGTTGAAGTCAGAGGAAGTAACGCGAGAGGCGGTCTAGAGCGATGCGGCGATCAATGATCGAGAGGAACTTCCTAGTACGAGCGTTCTAAGAGCAAAACGTCTATCGACGGAGGATATGAGCCTGCTGCAGACGAATCGAGTTTGGCTTGGGTCTAGGTGCAGCGGGATGGAAATAGAATTCCAGGTTCAGGAATCAGGGGAATCAGGAACGTCTGGCTTGGGAAAGAGCAGCCATGGGATGGGAAATGCACTCGTGGAGCTCGGGGTGGAGTAGTAAGGAAGAAGGCACCAAGGAAGCAGATTCCGTAGACCCTACGTAACCGCTGTAGTTGCCTGCACATCGCGTTGAAACGCATAGCGCTCTAGTGGACCGCAAGAAAACATCTCTTGCGACCAAGCTTGAAGCAGAAGCCCATCTGATCTGAGAATAGATGTCCCTCCCTTCCCCCATGTCGAGTCAGGTCAACTTCGAGGGACATCCTGGTTGGACTGCTACGTCAGCAGCACGGGGAATGCTCACCACCAGTAACCAATCGGTGCGAGATGTTTGGATTGCGTTTCGTTTCGCCATTGGGAGATGTGGCTGCCGCATCCCGGGGGCCTGAACTTGGCACGGGTTTGGTTCGTGGCGTCCCTGCGGGGAGGAGGAGTCAAGGTCCACGTCGGCTTGATGCCACGTGCTCAGAACGTGGTATTGCGATGTAAGGAGCACCGATTTTGTACGCGACGGAGCTCACGTCCTTTTTAATAACGAAAAGACGTTGATAAATTTAATTCAAGACATAACCATCAAAATTAGCCTCCCTGCGCCACCCCCACTCCTGTCATCAGTTGAAGCCAGCAGTCCACAATATTACTGCCAGCCATTTCGTGGTGAACCATCAGTAGTACCAGTGAACTGAGGGATGAGGATCCGCTAGTAGCCTATAAATGTTTGCACGATTCTCGTTAACGTAGAGTAATGGAGAAGGGTCGAGTGGTGGTGTTGGACAATGGAGGGGCCACTTGCAAAATAGGCTTCGGGGGGGAGGCGGAACCGGTGAAGGTCATACCCAACTTCGTAGCCAAGGCCAAGGGACTAAAGCGGCCCTTCGTGGCTGACCTACTCGACACGTGTCCAGACATCAAGGTACTCGATCGTCCAGCTGGCAGCACGCAATTCCGCCTTTCGCGAAACTCTTCGCGTTGTACTTATGAAGTCCCTTCTAATCCTCTTGTCGCTGCGTCGTGCACGCATCTAGGGTTTGGGCGTGCTGCGGCCCGTTGATCGCGGCTACGTGGTCAACTGGGACCTGCAGGGCTCCATCTGGGACCGAGCCTTCTCCGGTATTCTCAAGGTAGGCTCTTCCGTTCTGCATTGCCACCGTTCGACCTGAGTTTGTCGTTTACACATCTAGGATTCGAGCATGCTGAGACCCGTGGACACGGACGGGGCTACATTCCACCTCAGTTTCCCTTCGCCCCTCCTCTCTTCACCTTCCCCAGTTGCAGCCGTCCTCTTCCTCCCCACTGGTTTCAGAGCAGCTGTTCAACATACCCTCCATCCTCCCAATTCTTACACCAATTTCATTCCCCTGTCCACCTCCCCCAGGTGCAGCCGTCCTCCGCCTCTCTTCTGGTATCAGAGCCGCTGTTCAGCCTGCCGTCCATCCAGCGATCCATGGACGAGCTGGCCTTTGAGCACTTTGGCTTCCGGTCCTACCTCCGGGTCCCCGCTCCTGTGCTGGCGTACAGGTATGAGGTATGTGAGTGGCGGCATGTGGTGGATTTGCACTCTTTTTCCTCTCCTCTCCTCGCCTCCTACTATCTCACGTTCTCGTTCTCCTCCCCCACACGCACGTTCTCGTTCTTCTGGCACCCACCCACCCACCCACTCATCCACCCATGTCTTTCCTGTGTGTCTCGCTGCATCAGGGCAGTCTTCCACCCTCCTGGACTCCCCGCCACGCCACCATGCTTTTGAGTCGACGCAATGGCGTCCTCGTTTTTATGCAAGTTCTCCTTTCTTCCTCCTCTGTGTCTCGCTGCATCAGGGCAGACTTCCACGCTCCTTGACTCCCCGCCACCTCCAATGCCGTCATCACTTGCCTCATCATCGGCCGTCTCTGCCAGCTCAGCATCCGCAGCTGCCAGCTCAGCGATGGCTCTACAGGCGGGCTGCGGCCTGTTGGTGGATGCTGGCTTCTCCTTCACGCATGCCGTGCCCATCTGGAACAACAAACCGCTGCTGCACGCTGTCAGGTGAAACAACAGATGATTTACTGTAGCATGTCAGGTGCAAACAACAGACGTCAGGTGTGAACAGCCGACTGTTTCCGCAGGTTACAGCTCAAGTCCTGTGGCAATAACATGGGTCCTGAAGACTTTCCCCATTGGGACCCCTGCCATACTCTCTTCTCTTCCCCCCAGGCGCATGAACGTGGGCGGCAAGGCGCTGACCAACGTGCTCAAGGAGGTGGTGTCGTACCGGGCGTGGAACATGATGGACGAGACGCTCATCATGGACCACGTCAAAGAGTCCATGTGCCTCGTCTCGCTCTTCCCCACGCGCCACCTCCCCTTGGCCAGGTGAATCCTCAGGTGGTGGAGGGTGTGCTAGTCCAGGTGAACGTAAAGGTAGGTTGCCTGTGGGCTAATGGATTTAGCTGTCGCATGTGGACGGGCAGGTGAGGTTTCAAGTAGATGTGAGCGACTAGGTAAGTCTTACACATGGTTTGGTGAATGGCCTTGAGTTATTTGTTGAAGAATGGCCATGAGGTGTTAGGGCAATCTTATTTCTTGGTGTGTGTCATAATTGTCCTACTCTCCCCGCCCCCGCTCCCTTGTGTACCCTCACTGCAGGAAACGGGATACTGGCAACATTTTCCGGGCAGAGTACTTGCTGCCCGACGGGGTCACACTCCAGCGCGGGCAGGTGAAAGACCCTGCGGCAGTATTGCTGGCAGTGAAGACACAGGAGGCCCTTTGGGAGCAACACAGAGAGGAGGGGGAGAGAGAGGAGACACTATCAAGGAGAGGAGGAGGAGAGGGAAGGGAAGTAGGAAGAAGAAAAAAGGGCGGTGACAGACATGACGGTAGGAAGAAGTCTGGGAGCAATGAGAGGGCCGGGAAAAGAGAAGAGGGCGGAGAGGGCGAAGAGAGAGGGAGGAAGAGAGGGAGAAGGGGAGGGGAGGGGGAGCGGGAGGAGGAGAGTCAGGAGCAGGAGCAAGGGGGTGGTGGTGGTGGTGGTGGTGGTGGTGAGCAGGATGAGGAGGACGAGGAGGACGAGGAGGATGAAGACTGGGATGAGAGGGCAGGGCGAGGCAAGCCCGGTGCTACTGGTGGTGGTGGCAGCAGTGGTGGTGGTGGGGCGAGTGCTGCTGCCATACCACCTGGTGACAGTGGCAGTGCCCGGCGAATGGCGGGCAGCAGAGGCACTGCAGGCGGCGGTGGTGGTTCGGCCAGCAGGGATGGAGGAGGCGGCCAGCAGCCGGTGGGTGGGTGGGTGGGCGGGTGGGGGGGTGGGTGGGCGGGTGGGTGGGCAGGTGGGCGGGTGGGCGGGTAGGTGGGTGGGTGGATGGGTGTTACAGCAGCAGGAGAATTTTGGGAAGCAGAGAAGCTAGCTCACACTTTTCCTTCCTGCACCTATTAGATGCGAGTGCCTCCCTCCCCGTCCCCCTCTACTGCCACCCCCCCTCCCCCCTTTTTTCCTCTCTCCCCTCCTCTTCCTGCCGCCCCCGCCTTCACACTTACTTTCTCCCCACCAGGAGCTATCCCTAGCCTCAGAGCGCTTCATGGTACCTGAAGGCCTCTTCCACCCCTCCGACTTTGGTGAGCCGCCACTGATTGCTGCTGGGTTGCAGCTGGGTTGCTGCTGGGTTGCAGCTGGGTTGCTGCTGGGTTTTACTCATCGCTGTTCCCACCTGTCCGTGTCCTTGTCACGCGTCCTTGGCCAATCTCATTGCTGCTTGCATGGCTATTTACAACGCATTCCGCTTCTCTGCTATCTACGGCCAACCATCCCTTTTGCAGCTATTCCTTCTACGGGCCACTGCTATTTGCGATCCAGGTCATACCCCTCGCTTGCAACAACATTCCCACTTTTGAGGCGCCTCAAAGATAGACTCCGTCTACCTGCCACCGCTATCCGTGATCCCGGTCATACCGCTCGCGATGAGGCGCCTCAAAACTAGACCTCGGTCATACCCCTGGCTTGCAATGCAACAACGTTCCATTCCCACCCTCCCCTCAAAAACTTTTGCCAGGAGTGAACCAAGCAGGTTTGGCAGAGACAATTGTGGCGTCCGTGTCTGCTGCTCCTCGAGTCATCCACCCGCTGCTCTTCTCCAAGTGCGCTCGCTCACTCGTCTCCCTCATCTCTCTCATCTAATGCGTCTCTTCACTTCCCCTCATCTCTTTTTGAGCGCCTCATATTTTGTGTCTGCTGCTCCTTGAGTCGTCCAACTGCTGCTCTACTCCTAATGCTCTCGCCTCCTTCTCCTTTTCTAAGGTGTTTTTATTCTGTTATAACTTACAGCCTTACTTCTATCACTCCCTTGTTGCATACTCTCCTATCCTTTTCATTTCAAAGAATGTAGAAAGCCCAGCTTTATCGTAGTCACCGCTTGCTCATCCGCCCTCGTTCCACTCCCCAATGCACGTGATCAGCCACCTGGCAGCATCGTTCTGGTGGGCGACGACAACTGTCAGTTCCCCTTCGTCCGCCTCCCTTCCTGCAATCGCCCTTCTACCTCACAACCCACCTCACTTCCTCTTCTTCTCCTATGTACCTGTCCCAACTACCTGTCCTCCTTACCCTATGTGGCAGCCTTGTTCTGGTGGGCGACAACTCTCACTTCCCCTTCGTCCGCCTCCCTTCCTCCAATCGCCCTTCTACCTCCCAATTCACTTCACTTCCTCTTCTCCTAATTACCTGTCTGAATTACCTGGTCAAATTACCTGTCCTGATTACCCGTCGTGATTATCCGTCCTGATTACCCGTCCTTACCCCGTCTGGCAGCATTGTTCTGGTGGGCGGCAGCTGTCAGTTCCCCTTCTTCAAGGAACGCCTGTAAGAACATGCTAATGAATCCGTTTTACCTTCACCAGTTAAGCCCTGATTTTAGTCGGCTCAAAAGTCACCTCGTTCTGGTGAGCGGCAGCTGTCAGTTCCCTTCCTTCAACGACTGTAAGAAAGAACATGCCATCGGATCCGTGTTACCTTCACCAGTTAGCCCCTGATCTCAACCTAGCGTGGTGTTACTGATGTCAACGTGTCCTCACGCCATGCCACGTTATGTCATCTCTATCCCCATTCCAACCCACTCCCCCCCCCCCCCCCCCCCCAGAACCGACCAACCCGCCCCTCACCCAGCCTCTTCCCTCCCCCCCAACCCCCACGCCCCCTCTTCCCCCCCTCCCCCCTGTTTGCACCGTTCCCCCCTGTTCGTGACAGTGAGTTGGAGCTCCGGCCTCTGGTGCCCGACTCCCTACCCATCCACATCTCTCTCTCCCAAAGGTGGGTGGGTGCATGTATGTACGCCGCATGCGAGTGAGGTGCATGACCCCATCCCATGCTCTCTATACTTCCATGCTTACATACAGAGAGGCTTGCATGGGAGGTTCTGAGTGTTTGACTGGCGTGTTCCATGCTGGTGCAATTGACCGGATGATATCTTCACAGCTTTTCGGCTCCATATCTGCACATGCTCTGTGCATGCGTGTGCGTCACTAATGTTGTGGTAACTAAATCTCACATTTGTCTCTGTGTATGTGTTGCGCATTTATTGAGCAGCCCTGTGGTGAGTGCATGGAAGGGCGGTTCCAACCTGGTCAGATCAGGAGAATTCGCACGCAGAGCAGTCACCAAGAAGCAGTATGAGGAACTGGGTTTTGAAAGATGTGCTGAGCTGATGAAACATTCATAGCTGTGAATTATAGCTGCGTGCCTGCCTGCGGAACCGAGAGGTTCGAGTGTACTCGCTGTGGTGAGCCACAGTAAGGAATCGTAATTCCTAACAGATCAGGAGAATTCGCACGCAGAGCAGTCACCAAGAAGCAGTATGAGGAGCTGGGTTTTGAAAGATGTGCTGAGCTGATGAAACATTCATAGTTGATCAAAACATCCTCTGAAGAGTATATTTTTTAACTTAACTAGAGGCCAATGCTTAATGCAATTGCACATAAACATAGTGGTATCTTGCATACCCTGCATCACTCGCAAGCGTTCCTAAAAACGCTTCTACTGCAGCCATGCAAGGAACTACCGGGATGTGGCTCCGCTTGTAGTATCACTATCTCTATGTGGAAGCAGCAGCAGTAACAGGAGATGCAATAGCGAGTCCTGACTGCCATGCAGGAGTGGTCTGCTCAAACACGTGTGCATACTTGAGAATGTCCGCCTGTGGGGGGAAGGCAGGAAGGCAGGCACGCAGGCAGGCGGGGAGGCGGGGAGGCGGGGAGGCGGGGAGGCGGGGAGGGGGGTAGGGGAGAGAGTTGAATGCTGGCAACAGATGGCTTGCTCAAATCGTACTTTAGAATGCCGATGATCTGAAGAACAGTGAACTGTCCGATGATTCGGCTCGTCTCAAAGCTGTACATCAGCAAACATAACGCCGATGATCTGAATGCCGATCGGCAAGCCTCGAGGGCCACTGGGAGCCAGCCGAGCGACAGCAACACAAGCACGAGCACGCGCATGAGCACGAGCCGAAATTTGGCCCACAGGGTTCATACCTCAGCAAAGGGAGCGCCGATGATCTGAAGGCCAATTGGCAAACCGTGAGGGCCGCCGGGAGCCAAACCACAGGGGAGAGAGATGGCTGGTAGGCCGGCTAGGTTGACGTTGACCTACAGGGTGCAGAGGGGTGGAGAGAGGTGTAGTGAGGTGAGGGTAAGGGACAGGGGAGAAGGATTAGGTGGGTGAGTCCGAAATGGTTGGAGGGGAATTGACGAGAATATATTGCAAATGTGAAAAGTTTGGTGGTGAATACATTGGTGGTGGGTGCTCTGACGATTGAGGTCGCCATGACCTCATGACCTCATGACCTCAATCTTCACTTACCGTCATGAGGTCGCCAACATACATGGCGAGCGGGTCAGATGTTTTCTCGCCTGGATGGGTGAATGGAGGAGACAAGGAGTTTGGAAGCTGGAGCATGCATCAAGCAGTGTGTGGAGCATGCATGAGAAAGCCAGAACCTAGGTTTGACAGCTGTCATGATGCTGGTAACCAGAGTGGCACGCAGAGGTTGGCGCAGCAGGGGAGATCCCGGCATCAGACCTCATCTCCTTGTGAGAGGGGTATGCTGTGGAGGGGTATGCTGCAGTCAGTCAGAGCCTTGATCAGGAGAGATCAGGGGTATGTTGCTCCTCCAGACAGAGCAGCATTCCCCCACAGCATGCCTTCCATGACCATCAATTCTGTTACACGTGTGGCCACACGAGTATTTAACAATGCGCAAGGGCGTTTAGAGAATTCTGAAACACACTCGCCCGGTCACATCCACGCTCACTAACACACCCAGCACACTACCTCCCCTCCCTCTCCTTTCGCAGGGTGTTCTTGAGAATTCTTCAAAACATTCCCCTCCACAGCTGTCAGCATCTCCTCTGTTCTTCTTCAGTGTTTACCAATGCGGTACGCAGTGGTCGGGGCAGTGGGAGTGAGCAGAGCGTCATGCCCCTCCAGTGCTGCCACAAACTCTTTGCGGATCATCGTGCGCACCTGACACGGGGTCAGGGATTGGGCATAAGATGAGACTGCCTGAGGGCCGCGAATCATGAGACCATTTTTAGGCTTTTGAGTCGACTCAAAAGCCGATTTTTAGGCGCCCGAAAGAGCGGCACCCCCCTCCACTGCTGCCTGCCAGCAAGTCCCTCTGGATCATCGTGCGCACCTGACGGGTATACCGACGAAACGGCTTTGGCTGTAAGGGCTTAGAGGAAACGGCTTTAATAGAATGGCTTTGAAGAGATTCTGTCTCGATTTGATCCGGCATCCATTCAGGTGTCTGATGATGCATGAATCACCCGATAAACACAATGAGGGCGAACGCGCCTGCAGTGAGGGCGAGACACCTGAAAAATCACCTGAACATGCACCCCTGAACTTGAACCTGGGGTTCTGACCTGCTGTGCTTTCTTGTAGTACGCATCATAGTACCCTGAGGAGAGCGCATACGTGCCCATCAGAATGCGCCGCTTCACCTGGCCGAGATCAGTCAGGGATGGAAGACAAGCGGTCCAGAGTTTCTTGAGAACATAAAAAACGAAGGGAAGAAGGTTGCTGAAATATTTTTTAAACGTCTCAAAAACGAAGGGGAGAAGGTTGCAGAGAGATCTTTTAGAATTCTAAAAAACGAAAGGGAGAAGGTTGTCAAGTAGGTGCCAGGGATGGGAACAGGAGAGACAGGGTCGAAGGAGGGAGAGGGGGAAGCAGCACAAGCATACTCTTGTCCACTCTGTACTCTTGTGTGAGAGTGTGAGTGAGAGTGTGACTGAGAGTGTGAGTGAGAGTGTGACGGTCACCTGACTTTCCTTGGTGAGTGAATGGCTATTCCTACTAACCTCTTTTCCAAAGCCCTGTCCTCGTGTGTTGCTATAGAGTGATGTAAGATCTGTGCCATCATGCTGCGGCCCGAACCTGCAGAACAGGTGGCAGAACAGGTGGCAGAACAGGTGGCAATCATCAGTGTAAACAATAGCGTGCAGTGAAGTGATGAGAGGTCCATGCTGCGGCCCAAACCTGAATGCAATGAGCGCACACAGATGTGATGGGGGTAGCAGACGTGCTCACATGCACATGAGCGTACCATGTCCCATTTTCCGTTTCTGCTGTAGCAGGGGGAGGTAGGCGATGCAGGAGGGGGAGGAAGGCGACGTAGGAGGGAAAGGAAGGTAGGTGGGTAGCAGAGAGCGAGAGGGTGTGACTCTTGAGGCCTTCAAAACTAGAGGGTGTGAGTACCTGATGCCATTGTATCGAGAGAGGTTGGAGGAGGCTTCAGAGGGGTCCAATAGAGCACCAGATAGGTGCCATTGTGTCAATACGTGATGCAATGGCGCCTATCTGGTGCTCTATTAAAACTAGAGGGGGTGGGTACCTGATGCCGTCGTATCGAGAGAGGTTGGAGGATGCTTCAGAGGGGGCGAGGATGTAGTAAGCTGGCAGGCCGTTGGCAAAGAAGGGCATGGACACCTGCACGTGGGGCATGTGGAGGATGGGAGGGGTGCACTGGCACATTAAGAAAGGCAGGCATGCAAGTGCACATGTGGTGCACTCGGAGCCTAGTAAACAGGCAGCCCGTTGGCAAAGAAGGGCATGGGCACCTGCGGTTGAGGCATGTGGGGGGAGGGAGGGATGGTTGACGAAGACGGGAGAGGTTGAAGACACTGTCAGAGGAGGCAGCCCATCGGCGAAGAAAGGCATAGACACCTGGAATGGAGCATGTGGGGGAGCATAGTACGGGGAGCATGTGGGGGTGGGGTGGGGTGCACTGGCACAGTGAATTTGAGCCTCGTAAACAGGCAGGCAGCACGCTGGTGAGGAAAGGCATGGGCACCTGCAGGTGCTTTTGAGTCGACTCAAAAGCATGGGCACCTGCAGGTGGGTGGGGCATGTGGGCGAGGAGAAGCGAGCGCCGCCGTAATCACGTGCAACTGTAACCACGCGAGGGTTTCAGCTGATCCTTCACGTGCAACTGCAAGACTCGGAGGCACTAAGCTTGCTTTCTCCTCTTAATTGGCTTGTGAGTCACTCGAGAAGCCGCTGGCCACCAGTACGGAACCAACCTGAAGCATAGATTCCAGAGTGCCTCGATGAGCTTGAGGCGTGAGTCGTGACAAGACAAGACAAGACAAGACAAGACACGACACCCCTGACCTGCTGACCAGTTGATTGAGCGAACTGCTGAAGCGAACCGCTGCGGAGAGATCGCCTGAAAAAAACCCTCAAGCTTGCGGAGACAAGCTTTAACCCTAACCCTGATCTGTTGATTCAGCCACGACTCAGCTGATTCGCAAATTGTGCCCCTAACCTCAGTACACCTGACCTGACCTGTCCTGACCTCACCTAACCTCGCTTCTTCTCTCGGTTCACTATCCCTTACGCAAATCTTGCCTCTTCCCTGATCTCGGATCAATGCCCACCTCCTCGACAGTGGCTCCCAGCGTCTCGTAGTGCCGCGCTGCCGCCCGGACGGCCAGTGCAACATCAGCATCCACACCAGCGCCCATGGTCTCCTGGACCAATGCGAGGCGGACACCTGTCAGTGGCTTGGAGGCGAGCGAGGCGCGGGGCAGGAGGGCGGCAGTGTAGTCTGGGATGGGCTGGAGTGGAGGGGCAGGGGACGGGGGGAAGGGAAGGAAGGAGGGGGGGGTGGGGGGGGAAGGGGTATAAGGGCTTGGCTTCCCAAGGGACGAGTCAAATAGAGGCGCGGGGGAGGAGGAGGGCAGCAGTGACGTTTGGGACAGGCTGGAGTGTTTGGGGGGGGGTCAGCGCAGTCCAGGCTGACTGTCTCGGATTCATTTTTTAGAATAAAAAAAAATGACTCTTCTTGGACCTCTTCTTCTCCTCACCTCACCTCGTGGCCACTGGTGCTCTCCCCCTCACCTCATGGCCACTGGTGCTCTCCCCCTCACCTCGTGGCCACTGGTGCTCTCCCCCTCACCTCATGGCCACTGGTGCTCTCCCCCTCACCTCATGGCCACTGGTGCTCTCCCCCTCACCTCATGGCCACTGGTGCTCTCCCCCTCACCTCATGGCCACTGGTGCTCTCCCCCTCACCTCATGGCCACTGGTGCTCTCCCCCTCACCTCATGGCCACTGGTGCTCTCCCCCTCACCTCATGGCCACTGGTGCTCTCCCCCTCACCTCATGGCCACTGGTGCTCTCCCCCTCACCTCATGGCCACTGGTGCTCTCCCCCTCACCTCATGGCCACTGGTGCTCTCCCCCTCACCTCATGGCCACTGGTGCTCTCCCCCTCACCTCATGGCCACTGGTGCTCTCCCCCTCACCTCGTGGCCACTGGTGCTCTCCCCCTCACCTCGTGGCCACTGGTGCTCTCCCCCTCACCTCATGGCCACTGGTTCTCTCCCCCTCACCTCATGGCCACTGGTGCTCTCCCCCTCACCTCATGGCCACTGGTGCTCTCCCCCTCACCTCATGGCCACTGGTGCTCTCCCCCTCACCTCATGGCCACTGGTGCTCTCCCCCTCACCTCATGGCCACTGGTGCTCTCCCCCTCACCTCATGGCCACTGGTGCTCTCCCCCTCACCTCATGGCCACTGGTGCTCTCCCCCTCACCTCGTGGCCACTGGTGCTCTCCCCCTCACCTCATGGCCACTGGTGCTCTCCCCCTCACCTCATGGCCACTGGTGCTCTCCCCCTCACCTCATGGCCACTGGTGCTCTCCCCCTCACCTCATGGCCACTGGTGCTCTCCCCCTCACCTCATGGCCACTGGTGCTCTCCCCCTCACCTCATGGCCACTGGTGCTCTCCCCCTCACCTCATGGCCACTGGTGCTCTCCCCCTCACCTCATGGCCACTGGTGCTCTCCCCCTCACCTCATGGCCACTGGTGCTCTCCCCCTCACCTCATGGCCACTGGTGCTCTCCCCCTCACCTCGTGGCCACTGGTGCTCTCCCCCTCACCTCATGGCCACTGGTGCTCTCCCCCTCACCTCATGGCCACTGGTGCTCTCCCCCTCACCTCATGGCCACTGGTGCTCTCCCCCTCACCTCATGGCCACTGGTGCTCTCCCCCTCACCTCATGGCCACTGGTGCTCTCCCCCTCACCTCATGGCCACTGGTGCTCTCCCCCTCACCTCGTGGCCACTGGTGCTGTCCCCATCGTCCCGCCCAGCCATCGCTTGCAGCACTATCGCCGTGTCTTCCACCGACCGGGCCAGCACTCCCACGCAGTCCAGGCTGGACGCATACGCCATGAGGCCGAGGCGGGAGACGCGGCCGTAGGATGGCTTTAAGCCCACGATGCCACAGAAGGATGCTGGTTGGCGCACGCTGCCACCTGTGTCGGAGCCCAGCGCAACGGCGCACTGCCCCGCCGCCACAGCAGCAGCAGAGCCACCTGAGCTCCCACCTGGCACCCTGGAGAGGTCCCAGGGGTTAGCAGTTACCTGTGGGGAGGGGGAGGGGGGTTTGCAGAGTAAAGGGTTTTAGGGGCCTCAAGAATAGCTTCTACCTGGCACCCTGGAGAGGTCCCAGGAGTTGGCGGTTACCTGGAAGGGGGAGTGGCGAGGTGGGGTTGGGTGGGGAGGAGGGTGGGGGGGGGGGGAGGGGGGGGTTAAGGAGGCAAGGAAGGAGAGGTAGTAGTGAGAAGCGCAGCAGCCATCAAGTAGCAGCAGAAAAGCCACCTGAGCTTCCACCTGGGACCCTCGAGAGAGGATCCAGGGGTTGGCATGGCGGTCGCCTGGGGAAAGAGGGGGTGAGGGGCAGGAAGGGGAGGTGCCAGGGAGCACAGCCAGGGATAGAAGCAGCAGAACCACCTTAGCTTCCATTTGGCACCATGGAAAGGGGTGATGGCACCATGGAAAGGGGTTGAGCACAGCCCGGGATAGCACCATGGAAAGATCCCAGGGGATGGCAGTCACAGGGGTCCATCGGGGAGGAGAGGTGAAGAGAAGGGGGGGGGAGGAGAGGAAAGCAGGAGCTCGAGGAAGGATGATGCATAGTCGCCTAGTGCTGCTGATGGCGAAACAACACAAATTTCAGGAATGTTGCCCACGTTGTCCCAGGGACCAATCAGCACGACTTCAACAACGTTACCCACGGCAAAAGTCAACCATCACGTAAGCATGAACGACGCAGGAACAAACAAGTTGCTCAAGCCTGATTGCCGAACTGTCTATCCACGGGAAGGCGGCGGCTCGTTCAGGATCCCCTGCTTTCATTAGAATGCTGAACGTGTAAGCAATGCTGCACGCTACCCTATGGGTAGGGAAGTGTCGATGGGTAGGGAAAATAATTTAAAATGCTGAACGTGTAAGCAATGCTGCACGCTACCCTATGCAAAGAAAGGATGTGGAGCTGCACCAGGACGATGGGACGTAACCGTCACATTTGTTGCATCGTCCCGGTGCAGCTCCCTCCACTCCACACACTTTTTTTGCAGACGGTAGCATGCTACATGGCTTACACGTTCAGCATTCTCAGATATTTTCCTCCTACCCGCCGACAATAAACGAAACTTGAACAAGCCACTGCCTTCCCGTGGGTAGACAGTCCGGCGATCTTGCTTGAGCAACTTGTTCCTACCTCTTACGCGCGTCATCCTGCATTTAGTAGCTGCTCAAACGTATGATTGCACACTTGCACTTGGTTGTGGGCAAAATGGGCAACGTTGTTGAAGTTGTGTTGATTGGTTCATGAAAAAAAACGGAGGAACGAGGGCAGTTACCTGGTAACCCGAGCCCTCACTGGTGCTGCTGACCATGCCAAACTCGTCCATGCTGGTCTTCCCCACCACCACTGCGCCCTCCACCCTCACTCTCGAAATATAAACTTTCCATAAGAAGGCAGGTGGTTACCTGGTAACCCGAGCCCTCCGTGGTGCTGCCCATGCCGAATTCGTCCATGTTGGTCTTTCCCACCACCACTGCGCCCTCTGCCTTCACCCTCGCCACACTCGTGGCATCGTATGGCGGCATGTAGCCCTGTGGTGAAGCGACAGGGGGATAACAAGAACAACACAGCATGCAGACGCACCAAATGTTAGTTGAATAAACGGCGGTCATGGCTGCAAGGGTGACTGATTAACACGGGAAATCAGTGGCCATGTGACATTGAGAGGTAAGAATCTCCGATAGAAGCCACATCAGCATGCCACGCCAGACCTTGAGGATCTTCGAGGCGGCAGTGGAGGGCATGCCACGTGTGCACAGGTTGTCCTTCACCCCGATTGGCACTCCGGTCAGCAGCCCCAAAGTTTTCTCTCCGCTGCCCGACTGGGATGCTAGGGTAGCATCAACTTCCCGCGCCTGCTGTAGCACCGCCTCCCTGAGGAAAGCACGGGAAAGCGGGGGAGAGCGGGGGGGTGGGTTGGGGGGGGGGTGGTGGGGGGGGGTACAAGGGGGACAGAGGGGAGGGGTTGGGAAGAAGTACTTGTCTTGCAGTCAAGCTTTGGAGAATGCCCCAAAACATAACACAACGAGGCGCCAGCATCAACTTCTCAAAATCCCGTGCCTACTGGAGCAGCTCCTCCCTGGGGAGAGTAGGGATGGAGCGAGGGTGTTTTGCCAGACCTGATTTATTTGAGGGTATAAGGAATTAATGAAGCAAAATTGCTGAGGGTGATGGAGGTGAGATATAGGGGAAGTGCAGGAGAAAAAACAGGAAGGGGGGGGGGAGAGAGAAAAGAGGGAGAAAATAGGAGGACAGCTAGAAAAAACCAACGCATTTATGGAAGGAGAAGCATCGTCGGTCAAAAGGAACAGGGGGGAAAGCTGGAGTAGGAGAGGAGGAGGGAGGAAGAAAGACAGGAGGGGGGAGGAAATACAGGAGGGGGGAGGAAAGACAGGAGGGGGGAGGAAAGGTAGGAGGGGGGAGGAAAGGCAGGAGGGGGGGGTCAGTATCTGTAAGAAAAGTGGACCGCACACAGAATCTGAGCTTGGGTCAGTACGTGGGAAGGGGGGGGTTCAGGGTTTAAGCGATCAACCGGCACACGCCGTACAGCCAAATCCGCCATGAGAGATGAAATGGCTTGACTTGAGTAGACTCGAACGAAATGGAAGGATTTGTTTGACTCAGGTCAAGTGCGAGTCTCAAGTAAACTCAAGGATTTGTTTGACCTGAGTCAAGCACTTGACCCAGGTCAGGTCAAGTGCGAGGGAGGGCCGAATCAAGTAAACTCACCCGCCTTGCAGAGCTTGCAACTGGTGGTGGTGGTGACCCAGTGACCCAGCTTTGAGGCGCCTCAAAACTAGACGCCTTGCAGAGCTTGGAACTGGTGGTGGTGGTGGTCTACCGTCTACGAGGTCGCCTCATGGGCAGGTGGGGCTGGCTGTATATTGCGTTCCTGCCCACGAGGGTAGACTCACCCCCCGCAGCTTGACACTGCGCAGACCGATAGCCCAGCTCACCTGCCTTGCAGAGAACGCAATGCACGTGCAGGAAGCTTCCCGTCCACGAGGAATCTACCGGCTGCATGTGTGCGGGAAGCTTCCTGGCGTGGAGGGGAGAACTACCTGTCCGTGTGCAGGAAGCTTCGCAGCTGCCCCTCATGCGCCTCCAGCCGCTCCAGATACTCCTCCGCCACGCCGACAGCTGTCCGCTCGCCATTGGCCAGCTGGCGCTGCGGGGTTGGTTGGTAGGGTAAAGCGGTAGAATAGCGGGGAGAGGCAGCGGGGGAGGAGATGGGGAATGGCAGGAGGAGGAAATAGGAGTCGGGGGGAGGGGGGAAGGGGGGAGTGGGGGGGAGGGGGGGGGAGGGGGGAGGGGAGTGTTGGGATGGGGCGTGTCAACGCTGAAGCATCCACGTAATTTCAAGGTTGCGAGAGGTGACCTGGATTTCGCGAATGGCGGAATGCGGCCGTTGAGAATCGCCGCTGCTAGCTGAGCTGGCAGACACGTCATCATCTCCTCCTGCTGCTGCCGCGGCTCGGACGATGGAACAGCGATGCCTCCGATGGGGAAATTCTGACCGTTCGTCAGTAAAAAGAGGAGTTCCACTCCAGAGACGGGATCTGCCAATGCCAGCTCGACACGTGGCTGAGAGGGATGCGCTGACGTGTGATCCGCTGCAAGGCGCGGGAGAGAGGCGCGAGAGTGAGAGAAGATGCTGCGGCGAACGCAGCAGATGATGACACGTCATGATCACAATGGATGACGTGGCGGTATCTCGAGTTGGAAATGGCAGGCGAGAAAGCGGGCTCCAGAATGGCAGGAAAGCCAGGGCGAAACAGAACACCTGCCACCGACTATACGCGGTGCTGGCTCGCTCGTCAAGGATATTGAAGTCGCAAACAAAAACAGAAAGAGTAACATTATGTCGTCACACCTTACGACTAACAATCAGCTGCTTTTAGCACAACCTTATCCAACCAAACAAAATGCCCCCGTCTGTTCTGGTCACACCCTCACGTTAAAGCATTAGTTAAAAGCCTAAAGTTAGTGCATGCCCCTCCATAGATACGATGCAAAATGCCAATCCTGCATGCAATGCTTACTTCAGCACTCCAAATAAACAAGCTGCGTACACACTGAGCCACGCACCATGTGTGACGCAAAAACCTAGCACCGTTGATCGCGCATGCACCAGCAATCACCACTTGTGTTCCGGGCAGCATCAAGCTGCCCACAAACTTCTACACAGAGGTGCCCAAAGAATTTCCACCAAGCGGCAGTTTTGCCACAATGCACATGGCCTTGGGACCGCACAACCGTCTGCTGGCTGCACGCCTGCCAGCTGCACCCCCAGACAGCTGCACCAGCTGCCAGCCATGCCTAACCTTCTGCTGGTTTCCATCACCACAGCACACTGCACACCACAAGTCAACCACCGGCTGCCGCAACTCCGCACTGCCCACGATCTTCCAGCAGCCGCCGGTTCGCACGAGCTCGTATCCCGCCGTGCACGTGCTGTGGTACGCGCCTCCGTGCCCCCGTCTGTTCAGTAACGTGCGTTCTGAGTCAACTAAAAGTCAGCCACCCACTACCGCAGCACCGTGCCTCCAACGATCTTCCAGCACGTGCCGGTCTGCACGAGCTCGTAGCGCGCCGTGTACGTGCTGCGGTACGCGTCGTTGTGCGTGGGGTCCGCTGCATCCACCAGCCGCGCTGCCTCCTGCACCACAGCCTCCACCACGGCTTTCTTCTGGCACTTGCTCACTGCTGCCATCTCCACCTGGACAGACGAAGCATTCATGGACAGGTGGTGCACACAGGGTGTGATCCGGGATCTATTGTGCGTCGGGCTGGCTCCGCTGCATCCACCAGCCGCGCTGCCTCCTGCCTGCACCACTGCTTCCACCACGGGCTCCCCCAAGGGAGAGGGAGGGAGAGACGGAGGGCCATAAGTGGCCCATAAGGTTCAGCCCAAGCTACCTTCCGTACCCATACACTTGCGTCACCCCCACTCACGCCCCCACTCACACCCCCACTCACACCCCCACCCACCCCCCCACTCACATCCCCACTCACACCCCCACTCACACCCCCACCCACCCCCCACTCACATCCCCACTCACACCCCCACTCACACCCCCAACCCCACTCACGTTGAGACTGAGGAAGCTGTACTCCCAGAACCACCCGTTGCCCTCCACCTCCTTGGCCCTATTGCGCCACAGCTCCAGCATTGGCCCCTCCAGAATCTCGCCCAGCCGGTCCACACGGTGAGAGGGGCCCAGCGCTGCTGCCTTCACCTCTTGCCAGTGCCGCACCACACGCACCGCCCACTGCACCTCCTCCACCTCCGAGTACTCTTCTTCTGCGGCTCCTCCTGTTTCTACCAGTAACCGAGAACAGCAAGGGCACGGGGAGGGAAAGGAGGGAAAGGAAACGAGCAGGGAGTAAGTGGTCCACGCGGTGCGAGGGCCTGCTGTTCCTTAGCCGCGCCCACCATCGGCCTTCCACTCCCAGCATCCAGCATTCAGCCCAACCCAACAACGTCCGCCATGCAGCCCACCCGCCACCACAGCGACTAGCGCATATTTCATATGCACTCATCTTTCAAATGCACTCATATTTCATATGCACTCACCAGATGAGGCAGCCGTCTCCTTCGCCGCGCCCACCATCGCCCCTTCCACTCCCAGCATCGACGGCCCAAACCGCCCCGACCGCATGCGCCAAGCCATCCAGCCGCCACCCGCCACCACCGCCGCTGCTGCCACCCCCACCACCATCGCCCCCACCTTCCCCCCAAACCCAAACCCACCCCTCCCGCTGCTGCTGCTGCTGCCGGTTTCGTTCCCAGGTAATCCCAAGGCTGGGAGGGATTCCGGTTGGGTGGTGCGGAGGGGGATGGGTGTTCCTTGGGGGTCGAGGACGGGGGAGGGGCCAAAGATCTCTCTTCTGGTGCGCGATCGGGCGAGCTCGGCTGGGGGTAGCGAGGAGGACAGGTCTTGTAACGCGTCGTCTAGTAACGAGGCGGTGGCTGTAGGTGGGGTGGCGGACGAGGGGGGGGAGGAGGTGGCGGGGACAGATGTTGATAGGGTGAAAGGATTCTCAACTGGTGTCCCTGCTGCTGCTGCTGCTGCCCCCGCCGCCCCTGCTGCCCCGGCTGCTGTGTCAGTGCTTCCTTGCATCCAGGGAAACACCCCCTTGATCACATCCATCGCAGCATTCCTCACTCCTCCTATCCCTCCACCCTTCCCTCCCCCTCCCCCCCCTCCACTCCCCCCTCCCCCACCGCCCGCACCCCCACCCTGCGACTGATCCCATGCGTCCAGAAAGCTCCCGACTGCCGGGTGGTCAAAGTACTCGGATAACACAACAGGGAGATGGCTTGTGTCTCTGAATCGCATGGCCACTACCTCCTTCAACCACACCTCCAACAACCGGCACAGCCCTGGCAACAATACGTCCTCCTCTCCCCCCCCTGCTGTCGCCGGTCTGCTACTAGCCGACCCGCTACCAGCTACAGAGCTAGTGACTATCGTGCTAAGGGGCTGGCTGTTTCCCGTACGGCTGCTGCCATACCACGAGTCGACTGGCGGTGCGCTGGGGGAATTGGCATAGATGTATTCTGCTACTGCTAGGTCGCCAGACGGAGGGGTGACGTGCACGCCGAGCCAGCGCTTGCACTCGCCCACCTGCCCCAGCAGCAGCGCACACATGGCCCGCTCCACTGATAAGTCCGCTGGGACGTCTGTCCCTGCCACCATCGCCATCGCACTCCCCGCCCCTCCCTGCCCTCCCACCCCTGCTGCTCCTGCCGCTGCTCCTGCTGCTCCTCCTGCTCTTCCTGCTATCAGTCCTGCTTCACCTGCCCCACTCCCTTCCCCTCCTCCTGCCCCTTCTCCTTCTCCAGCCGTTACCCCACCACTCACCACTGCCCCACTCCCCTCCCCCCCCGTAGCACCGCCCACAACGCCGCCCGTGCTGACGCTGACCAGCACGCGGTAAGCCGTGGACTCGTTGAGCTCCTTGAGGAGCGCGTCCGATTGCACGATGTCGGCCGGGCGGCGCAGGAAGAAGCCGCGGCCGGCAAAGGCGAGCGCCACCCAGTACGCCTCGAGGATGCCGGCGTCGATGTGCGTCGGGGCGGCGGCAAAGTGATTTATCAACTCGGACGTTGTCAGGCGTAAGAAGGCTTCCCGCATGAAGACGTGGCGGGAGAAGCCGCCCTGGGAGGTAAAGGAGAGAGAACCGTCTGGGTCCTGCGTCCAGAGGAGATCCCTCATGGCCTGCAGGGGGGGGGGGAGAGGGGGGAGAGGGGGGGAGGGAGTGGGCAGAGGGAAGGCGGGAAGGGAATGGAGTTCGGTCCCAGTAAGCAAAGGCGAGCGTCACCCAGCAGGCGTCGAGGATGCCGGCGTCGATGTGCGACGGGGCGGCAGCGAAGTTGTTAATCAACTCGGATGTTGTGAGTCGTAAGGAAGCTTCTCGCATGAAGACGTGGCGGGAGAAGCCGCCTTGAGAAGAGAATGTGAGGGTGCCGTCTGGGCCTTGCGACCACAGGAGGTCCCGCATGGCCTGAAAAGGGGGGCGCGGATAGGTGGGGGGGATGGTAGTGGACGGAGGAGGGGTGGTAGCAAAATGGTGGATGACCTCTGAGGTGGTCAGGCGGAGAGAGGCTTCTCGTATGAGAAGACGTGGTGGGGAAAGCCGTCTTGAGAAGAGAACGTGAGCCTTCCATCTGGGTTTTGCGACCAGAGAAGGTGCCTCATAGCCTGGGAGGAGGGATGGGAGGAGGGGGGGGGAGTGAGGGGACAAGGAGGGGAGGGAAAATGGGTGGTTGGATTTCAGAGCGAAAGAGCGAGCGCCGCCCACCCAGTAGGCCTCAAGGATGCCGGCATCGATGTGCGTCGGGGCGGCGGCGAAATGGTTTATGAGCTTTGAGGTGGTCCTCATGCTCCATACCCAAAGCGTTAAGATGCCTAAACACATATGTGTAAGCCTTGTAAGGTTGACCTGTGAGCCCTCGCTCCTGCCCTCCTCATGCACCTTGTCCAACAGCAGGGCCAGCAGCTCCAGCAGCACACGATTGGGCCCCCACACACCCTCAATAGCTACGCTACTTCGAGCTGCAACATCTGTGAGCTCCCCACCCACCCACCCACCCACCAGCCCACCTGTATGCCCTCGCCCCTCCCCTCCTCGTGCTCCTTGTCCAGCGGCAGGGCCAGCAGCTCCAGCACGCGGGTGGGGCCCATCTCCCTCAGCGAGTCCTCTATCGCCGCTTGCAGGGATGGCGCCAGGCCTGGACCGCCCTCGTCCTGTTGTCACAGGCACAGGGAGAGAGCAACACGGGAAACGTGCTTCTGAGGCGCCTCACAAGGGCCAGCAGCTCCAGCACGCGAGTGGCCGGCATCTCCTGCATCTCCCTCAGCGAGTCATCCATCACTATCACCCTCTGCAGGGATGGCGCCAGGCCTGGACCGCCCTCGTCCTGTAGGTACAGATGCAGGGAGAGAGCAACAGGGGAAACGTGCTTCTGAGGCGCCTCAAAAGGGCCAGCAGCTCCAGCACGCGAGTGACATTTGAGTCAACTCATCTCCCTCAGCGAGTCCTCAATCGCCCCCTGCAGGGATGGCGCCAGACCTGGACCCCATTCGTCCTGTTAGGGGGGAAGATTGAGAACGGGAGGGCAGGGTGCCAGGGTGGGGGGTACAGCGGAGCGTGTGTTTGAGGAGCCTCTAACCACCACCTCTTGAAATTGAAAGCCTTCTATCCCCCCCTGCAGGGATGGCGCCAGGCCAGGAAAAGACCGAGAGAGCACCACTTGGGTGCCATTGGCTTTACATGGCAGCGACTTGTAGATGCTTAAGGTAGTAAACGCCTTGCTTGGAAACCTTCCATCGCCCCCTGCAGGGGCGGCGCCAGGCCTGGACCCCCTGCGTCCTGTTGTGCGACAAGGGAGAAGTCTTTGAGTCGACTCAAAAGGGAGAAGAGATGGAGAGAAGCTGTTTCTTCAAATTCGTTCTTCCAGGAGAGGAGAGGGGAGAGAATTGAGATTTCTTCTAAACCCAGAAGAGGAGACAGGGATGGCGCTGCCAGGCCTGGGCCACCCTCTACGTGTTTCCAAATTCGTTTTTCAAGGAGAGGAGAGCAGGTCAAATTCGTTCTCACATCTGCCATCCGTCCGGTAGCAACCACACTATGGCGCACCCAACTAGGTTGGAGTTATTTTTGGAAATTTACAAAAATCACTCCAGCCAAATTCTGGCGCACCCAGAACCCGAATCTCAACCCAAACTCAAACCCCCAACTCGCTGCACAATCAGCATATCCTCCCCCTCACACACTCACCTGCAGAAGCTTCAATGCAGCTTCCAACAGCTCACAGCCCTGTGCCACCGCGGGCGGGTCTGCTGACATGGCATCACGCGATAGGTCAGAGTACGCCAACGCTGTGGCGAGTGCCACGTCAGCTCGGAAAGCTGGGTCGCCATCCGGGCGGGAGAGCAGGTCGAGGCCCGCCTCTGCCACATCAGCAGAGCGGCCGGCCTCTTGGAGCAGACACAACACGCCAGGCACCTGGAGTTTCCAGGAAAGCACCAAGAGATGTATGTTATAACAGTAAAATATAAACGTATATATATACATCTGTACATACATCCATATAAAGCTGCAATTATTACAAAAGAACAAGTGACTCTCCAGAGTCGACTCGTTAGGTCCAGCAGAACATGAGCATGAGATTTCATAACAGGAGGGATTCCTCCAGTTGCCGCAGAGGGCTCCAGAGAACAGAGTAGAAGGGTTGTGAGGGGGTAATGAGGGGGTTATGAGGGGTAATGAGGGGGTTATGAGCGGGTAATGAGGGGGGTATGAGCGGGTAATGAGGGGGTTATGAGGGGGTAATGAGGGGGTAATGAGGGGGTTATGAGGGGTAATGAGGGGGTTATGAGGGGGTTATGAGGGGGTTATGAGGGGGTAATGAGGGGGTTATGAGGGAGTTATGAGGGGGTTACGAGGGGGTAATGAGGGGGTTATGAGGGGGTAATGAGGGGGTTATGAGGGAGTTATGAGGGGGTTATCAGGGGGTTATCAGGGGGTTATGTGAGGGGCTTATGTGGCCAGTGAGGTGAATGGCTGAGGGCGTAACGAAGATGGCATGTCCAAAGAAGAAGGCGAAAAAACACTTACCCGGCTCATGGGAACATCAACAATTATTGCAGTCTCCCCCCCATACTCCCCTCCACCCCTCCCCCCGCCCCCTAACGCCTGCTGCTGCGCTGCTGCCTTCAGGTCCTCGTCATACTCTGCCCGGAGCTCAGCATCCAGTAGCGTGTCCCGGGCAGCCTCCAAAACTTCCGCCCTGACTGTGAGGGCGGCGACAGTGAAGCCCTCTTTGGGGGGCGAGGCGAGCATGGAGTCGAGCATGAGGTCAATGGTTGCCGTGGGAGTCTCAGGGTGAACTCGCAAAACCTAGAATGGGGAAAGGGGATGGGCGGGGGCGGAATGAACGGGGATCAACGGGAAGGGCAGGCGATATGCGAGCATGGAGCCGATCATGAGGTCGACGGTGGCCGTGGGGGTCTCGGGGTGACCTCTCAGCACCTGGAGGGGGGACGGAAGGGGGGAAGGAAGGGGGAAGTGAGGGAGGAGGAGGATGGGAGAGGAGAGAACGGAGGCGAGCAGCACTATGAGGTGGATGGCGGCCGTGGGGGTCTCACGGTCAACTCTCAGCACCAGAGGAGGATCGGGGTGGTGGCGACGAAGTCACAATGGAAGGCAAGGTTCGTGAGTTGCCGGGTTGGGTACAACCATCCGATCCGAGGCTGGTGCTCTGAGCAACAGGCCCGGCATACGCGGTACAAGCAGCATGTTGGGTATCGCTCTCTGTTTCTCTTTTCTGTTTGCTGTAAGCAGCCGTCCAAGGCTATACGCGCCATACCAAGCACTCTTAGGGTCCGAGGCTCTGCTTCAGCGTCCATCCATGCGCATTTGGTGGTCAGAAAACGAAGAACGATAACAAGAAAAGGAACGGTTTGCCTCGGTACAAGCTTCTTGCAAGCGGATAAGGAATGCGGGCATCCATATTTACGAACCTCGCAACATTCTGTTACATTAACCTTTAATCGCGTACCTCGTAATAACTTATCGGAAGGCTCATAAACGGCTCCTCGCCTCTGCTCTCGTCGTAGACCGAACCCTCCGCAACGTCAATTTCCGTCGCAACTCCGCCTCCGACCCTCCCGCCGTCCGCTCCATCCACGGCGGAATACGCGGAAGCCACGCAACAGCGCCGTACCTCCGCTTGCGACTTAATTTGCTGCACATTATGCAGGGTACGAGCCTTGTAGGAGTTAAAATTAGAGGCTGAAACTCTGCACGGCAATCGCGGAACCCCGCGGAAATCGGGTCCCCCGAGAAGGACGCCTGCGGAAATGGGTGCCCGACTTAAGCAGTGTTGCGTGCTGGTCTCTTGCTGTCGCGGACGGATAAAGGCTCTAACGGAGGTACAATGAGTTAGGTTTTGAAGGTTACTAGGCATTGAGTTGCGAGGGTTATGTGAGAGAACAGTAGAATGCAACTTGGAAACTGTGGAGGCGCCAGCGAGACTAGTCCCTGCCATCGTGCTCTTAACTGAGCTGTAAAGAGTTCCGGAGCAATAAATAGGTCTTTATCACTGAAGATAAAAAGACAGCAGATATATGTTCTCTGCTTCGCCGCTTTTATCCTGAAGACCAGCCCTACTAGTAGAATTGGCTGCCTGTCCGAAACCAGCCACCGCCACTAAATCAAGCGCTTAACAAGGATTAGTCTACTAACTACGGAGCCAAGTTAGGGGGACAGTGAGGCTGGTCCCTTGTCCAACCTAAATCCTTGAGATACAGGACAAGTTACCACAGATACACCACCACAGACAGCCAGGAGATTTTCGTGGTGGTGGTGCTGCGAATTCATCTGGGCTTGGCGGGAAATTCGAAGCCCGAGAGCGCGAACAGATCGAGGGAGGGCCCCTTGGATTGTCCCGGACGTACGTTTGACTGCAGTTGGATGCGATTCAACAGATTTAAACAACGTTCCAAAACGGTTGATTACGGTATTAAGCGAGAAACGTACACGCGGGGCACGACCTAAGAGGGGACCGGTAATGCCAGATGGGGTGGGCTGGGCTCGCAAGATGTTATCTGCGACAATCGCGGACGCCAAACTGCGATTATCGCAGATAACATCTTGGTGGTCATACGAACTGCATACAAAATCATTGCATATGGTGGTCATGAAAGTTCACATTCTAACCAAAAAGCATCACAACAATCCAGTGATGCAGGATCATGTGATGCAGCATCACATTCTTCCACGCTTCCGCCTCGTACTTGTCTTGCGTCTCACTTCGTACCGTGCCGCCGATGGCGGCCTTTAGTTTTCCTGCCGCCGTGGCGGCCTTGCCCTTCCGTGCCGCCGTGGCGACTTCTCTTAGATGCCGCGGCGGCTTGGTCGAGCTATTGTCGCACCTCCGCCTCGCCGCCGCAGCTTCGACGTCGCGCTGTGGCGGCGTCTTTTGGCTGCCGTGGCGGCGTCATCGGGCGACAGCCGGCCGCGCATCGTCAATGGTGCCGCCGGACCTGCCGCCCGCCCTACAGCCGCCGGCGTGATTCTGGACTACGCCCCGCGCCCCTCTCCCCCCCCTCCTCCCCCCCTCCTTCCCCTGCTCCCCCCCCCCTTCCTTGCTGCAGCCAACGACTGCCTCTTGAGGGCCCTCCCCACTGCCGAGGTGACTGGACATGCCGCCGAGAGGGCGGGGGCCGCTGCACCAGCCTCTGACGTCCAAGCCGCCGCTGCCGTTGCTGTTGCCGCGGGCCGGGCGCCGCCGCACGCCGCCACCGGCGCCGCTGTCGTCAATGTCGCTGCTGCCACCATTGCCATCCCACGGGCCGTGGGAGCTGCCCACTTCTGGAGTCGTTGCGTCTCCTGCTGGGAATGGGGGTGCTGGGCTAGGGGGTGTGGGTGTGGGTGTGGGTGTAGGGGTGTGAGTGGGCTTGACACTACCAAGCCTAGGGGGTGTGTTCAAATTATATAATTTATAATTTAATATAGGCTTGGTAGGTTGTTACTGAACCTTTCTGTAGATGGTACAAACCCCTCCTTGTACTCCTCTCTCTTCCTAATCCAACTCCTTTTCTCTCGACACCCTTTCCACGCTCCTAGCTAAAACCCGCCGCCATATTTATGGCGGTCTTTGTTCCTGCCTAGTATCCTAGCCTAGTGCTACTTCAACAAATGGCACAACAACATAGAAACATGTTATACCTGTTGTGGTAAATGAAGTTTTGCATTCCTGCAGGTTCTGTTTTCAGTGTAGCTAGCGGTATCGAGTTTCTCGGTAAGGAAACAGGTCCGAGAGCTGATGTCAGCAAAGCATCGCGTGTCTCGGGGATGACGTCAGCATACCGCTTCAGTTACGCGAATAGGCGTAACGAGTCGTTCCAGTCACGCGAACAGTCGCGACCCTATAGTATGACGAATAGGTCGCATAGCGCGATAGTGACGAACAGGTACTTTCCCTAGAACTATAAATCCTTGTAATGCCTTTCTATTACTAACCTTGACTTTACAAAGAATTATGTGCTCAGGTTATTCAACCTTCGACTACCCACAAGTTCATGTGCTCAGGTTCACTCTGATAACACTTCCGCTGTCTTACTAGTCTACCATTCCAGCAAAGATCCTTGGTTAAGTACTCGTGTTAGCAGATTCTATACTTAGTCTCCTGCAACACCTGTCAAATTATTACATGGTATGAGAGCTATCTGGAATTAAGACTACTGTCAACAATGACTGGTTCATCACCAGCACCGTCTGCCGGATCAACTTCCGGAACTACTGGAGTACATGTCTCCACGACCGCCACTGGTCTTTCAGCATCTGGACCGTTTCCACCGGCTTATGCTCACATCGGTATGCAGCAGAATCCGCCTTCTGTCAGTACTTCAAGGATGTCGTCAACTGCCCCTGCAGCGCAACAACAACAAACACAGGCAACCGCACAACATCAGACAACAGCACAACAACAAGGAACAGCACAGCAGTTTTCAACACAGTCAATATCGTCAGCGTTCAGTGGAATGAGCCTTGACGGCTTGAGTAATATGCGTGGAGCTTCAGCTCCAAGTACTGGCTCATTTGCCTTCTCACCTTTTGCGCAGCAGCCACAGTCGCAGCAGCAGCAGCCCTTCTACATCTTCGGGCGTTCACCTGCTCAACACCAACATCAGCAACAACAGCAACAACCTCAACAACAGGGCATTATTTTTCAACCGCCGAATTTACTGAACAACACACAAATCAAGACCACTATACCTTTTAACGGAGTGGATTTTTACTCCTGGAGCTTCGAGTTTGAGCTTCTTGCGCAGTCCGCTGGGCTATGGCCGTTCTTCACCAACAAATTTACGTATCCTGTTACGGGAACACAACTAGAGAAGCAAAGTTTCTTGCACGCCTCTCTCAGGGCGTATACAGTTCTTGTTCGAAACTTATCGCCAAAGGAGCAGCTCGGCGTTCGATCTTTCCATTCCAGCTTTACGCCAGCTGAAACTGCATGGAACCACTTGAAGGGGGTTTACATGGCAAAAGATACAATAACAGTGAGTAAAATACTTTCGCAGCTGACAAGTGTGCAGATGATGACAAGTGAGAACGTCATGGATTACGTCAACCGCGTCCGTACACTACGCGATCAACTGGAGAAAAGTGGGGGATACTTTCCTCGTGAGATGTATCTCACGGTCCTACTTGCTGGCCTTGGACCTGAATGGCGACAGACGCGCGCCTTCTTGCGTATGAACCCGAACCTCTCCGAAGCTGAGATTTCTTCATATCTTCAAGCGGAACAACAAGATCTTGACCTGCAGTCACAACGCAACAAAATGGGGATATACAACTCAGTTTCTATTCAATACCAACTCGACGTCCTCGATTCTTCTGTCAGATTTGCAACAAGGGAGGACATTCTACCGACCGATGCCACTTTAACAAAAAGTATTTACCTCCTGAAGAATCGCAGAGGTCGCAATCATCACAGCCGCTACGTCAGCCTTCGAAGCAGTATTTTCAGCACCATGCGCCTCCAAAAGCAACATCTGCAATATCAACACCACCAACGACACTCAGTTCTTCCCCTCCAAGCAACTCATCAAAGCCGACAGCAAATAATTCAAACTCTGCTAACAAAACGGTAACGTCAAAAAATTTCTTACCAACTTCAAACACTCACATGGCTGGTTGCAGTACAGATACCGATACTTGGTACTTGGATAGTTGTTGTGGCCATCATATGGTCTCTTCAACAAACCCTTTCGTCTACAATCTTCGTCGACTTCTTCAACCCTGCCCAATCACACTCGCCAAGGGTCAAACAATTGCAGCAGGAAATATCGGCAGTATCCTTTTGACATCCATCGATACGGGAAATTCCTTACGCCTTACCAACGTTTTACTCGTCGACAACCTCGACTTCAATTTAGTGTCAACTAACCAGCTCTTGAAGAAGAAAATCCGCACTGTCGGAAACTGCACGACACAAGAGCAGGACTCAATACATGATGTGGACAACACGTACATCGAAAGAGCAGCAACAAAAAATGGCGTATTCGTCTTACGCTTCAAGGCAGCAAAATCTTCCGAAGATGTCACTCTCCCTCAAGCTCCTTCAATCATTGCAGCAGTCGCTTTGGTAACCACTCCACCGATGGACTTCAGCAGCATCAAAGAAGAACATATGAGTAGCAGCACCACCAACATCCTTGCCGAATCACCTGCCGTTAATATCAAGGAAGATATTAGTCAAGAACACGAGGAAACATTGCAACTCGCTCCTGAAAATTTCTTCGACGCTACAACTACTCTCAACAAGCCTTCTAACAATTCTTCAACTACCAGTCTTCAAGAGAACGGTTATGCATTCTCACGGTTTTTACTTCCTTCATATTTTACCATCTTGATTCTTGCATGGCTGGCCATAGCAGCAAGCAAGCTCAGTACCCCGCTGCAGCCTTTCCTATACTACAGAGCAGCCGCTTACCACACTACGACCTCCAACGACTACGAGCTAGGCACGGGCATCAACTGCTACCAAACCCTTTCGTCATCGCGTTCAACAATGCAATGAAGCAGAAGGGTTGAACAGTACCCTACACGAGCTACGTGAGCAGCTGCGTGCACTGCTGACTCAACAAATTTCTCTGCCCGTCACTTCACGATTCTTTGTCAAGCCTCCGGATGTTGTCGAGGCTCCTCTCCACCACGTGCAACACTCTCGTGGTGTTGCATTCGTCCCCTTCGGCCTTGCCCCGCTCATTGGCGCAACCCCAACCACTTTCAACCCGACTCATTTTTTACTCTGCCGAAGTGAGGGGGGAAGGAGGATCTAGACGCACTTCGTCAAAGCCAAAATTCGTCATCAGCAAGGGAAGAACGCGATTGGTTTACCATTTGACCAATGGAATGACCGCCGACGACTTACAGCACATGAAGTTTACACGTCACAATATTCCAAATTGCATATTTCATTCGCCGGACTCCAAGAACGACGTGACTACATCGAACTTCCAGGAATGAAGGGGAGTGTTGTGGTAAATAAAGTTTTGCATTCCTGCAAGTTCCGTTTTCAGTGTAGCTAGCGGTATCGAGTTTTTTGGTAAGGAAACAGGTCCGAGTGCTGATGTCAGCAAAGCATCGCGTGTCTCGGGGATGACGTCAGCATACCGCTTCAGTTACGCGAATAGGCGTAACGAGTCGTTTCAGTCACGCGAACAGTCGCGACCCTATAGTATGACAAATAGGTCGCATAGCGCGATAGTGACGAACAGGTACATTAGCGAACA